ATATAATGATTTATTATTACTCCCGTTGCCACATATTTTAGTAAAAAGATTTAATTAAAAAAGGAATGTCTACGTTCCCTATTTTCCTCGAGACCTGTGTTATTTTCCCAGTTTGAAAAAGCCTTTTACTTTATTCTGAAAATACTGTTAGCGGAAGTAAATACGCATGTGAGTTTGTTGCGCTTATCACGGTGTTCATCATCATACGTCGTTGAACTTGCTGTGAAGGTAAGAAATTTAATCCAGACTGTTGATATTATATAATAAACGATGTCGTTTTGTAAAGAAGGAAAAAAATATCTTACGTGTTTTAAACTGTGTGGTATTCGGCTCTTATTATGACAAAACTTTTAAAGGACGTCGTTGYAGCGATTTTATCACAACATCCGCCTGCGTTTGCTACCAGGTAGAMCATCAGAACAGCCGCAGTAGGAACTTACTATAACTTTTATATTTCTAAAATAGTAAAATACAARGAAAGAAGCCACTTGTCTTGCGATGTAGAGGCACTACCAGTGTCTCCGTCTAATTATTGAGAAGTAAAGAAATAAATGAATATGCCAGGCTCGTCATYGTTAGCTTGTCTGTGATTGTGTGCACGGAAGATGCTCAGGAAGGGATAGAAAATCAACCAAAGATAAGATTTTACATTTAATACGCTTTCCACATGGTTATAACCGCAATGTGTTTGTTTAATTTGTGCTTTTTGAGTACATTTTAATTGGCCCTATCTCTAATATCTTTTTTTGCTAATTTTTGGGCAGATTTGCTCGAGTCTAATGATGAATAAATAACAAACACATTATCCTCAAGACCTCAAGAGGTTATCACAAATACCCACATGTTGGAGCTCAGCACGGTGGTGTACAAGATAATGGGGGTGGGGTGGTGTACAGTAAATACATTTTAACCGAATAATAAAAATACTGTCTTTTTTGCACCGTTTCCCAATCCTGCTTCATGTGACTTGTTCTCCTGCATGTTTGAAATGTTTCTTTGCTCCATAACTGAACTGTAGTTCAAAATCAAGTTCAACGGGATGTTTTGACACACCCTGCTCATATGATGTGTTGAAAAAAAAGTTTTTGCGTGGTTTTAACATGGATCCTGGGCATATTTAGTTACAGAAAARGTGAACAGATTGAAATAGGAGTACTCACACCTGGCATTAAAAGCTGTTCAGATTGTAGGTCTCAGTTACACTCTCTACATGCAGATAAACATGTCGTTACATCACACAGTTGGCYAAGCAGAGCTACTGATGCGTCTGTAAATAACCAACTCGGTTACCTGAAGTCACCTGGGTCGAGCKTTTTAGGGCGTTACTTTCCAAAATATTAACAAGCCTAATTATTTAACCTCAGAAATAATAAGAGAGCACCATGAAAGGGTTTGCGGCTTGAAAGAGTGAATTATTAAAATGTTCTTCAACAAAAACTAAACTGCTCCTCATTGTCTGTACATTTTGTTCAAGTTGCAAATATAAGTGGCGTTAATGTTAGTGTGTTATTGTAAAGTCATACAGTACATGTTTTAAAGCTTAATCCTGGTTAAAATTTAAACAAATTATTATTATTTAAGACATCAAGTTGTTACACACACATATAGCATAATGTGTCCATGATAATTTTCATTTCTCTAAATCTGTTTACAGTTGCTGGAGGAATAAAGTTTCAGCTCCGTCTGAGAAGAGTGGATTTCTAATTTTCAGCAGTGAACTTCTGTTTTTAACTTCATCAMTTCACAACAGTCAGTGGAATAATTGATTTTGTTCTGTAGTAAAGCATCATGCATCACCRACATGGGATGATTCGTCTCTTGTTCTGTGGCTGACATTTTTTTTTCATAAATTCCGAAAACGCTGCTTGGATGAAATAATCTTAAACTGAACTGACAAGGTCACCGTTTATTTAGACTTTTGTCACATCTGTAAACAAAGAGATAACCATGGGCTTGTGTTCAGTTATCAACAAGGCTTTGCGCAGGAGCAAGTATCTTGTGCTGCTCATCATCTCTCTATCGGTGCTGGCGTGGWTAACAATGTTTCCTGGTGAAACTGTAAAATCTGCCCCCGGTGACTCTGACACAACAGGAACTTTTCCCAGAGCTGGTCTCCATTCTTGGACGACAGCACCCACTCACCTGAATACTGCAGCACAGAAAGCCCAGTGCCCCGAGGAGTCTCCATTGCTCCGTAAGTACACACTGAAGACAGTGATGGACATCRGAATATGAAATCCTAAATGGCAGGTTGGAATCCAAACACAATAGTATTAAGTCAGCAAAATCTACATAATCCCTATTATGTCAAGTGAAGTTTTCACATCACTATCTTAGCTTTTGCCACTCTGYTGTCAGGAATGTTTTTTTATAGTGTCCTAAAATTGGATAAACAGATAGTTCAGTTACAAAATAATAATAAAAAATAAATAAATCAACCGTATACCATTTTTTCCCTTTGGCCATTCTACACAATCCTTTATAAATGAGGCCCAGAAGCTTTGCTTGAGTTTAAGTTTCTTTGCACAAGATCCTGATGACAGTTTCTTGAACATCAGCTAATGTTTAAATAAGAAACCAATTGTGAAGCTTTTGTAAATTTAAATGTTTTTTTTTATCATATATTACCTGCTTGTAGACCACACGTTAACCAAGRCCCATTGTGATTAAGACGGTAAACCAATTAGAGAAAAATGAAAAAATGAGACACACCGTAATGTTGTCTTTTTGAAGCAGAAGTGTCGAACCTTCCAGGCCTTCCTCAAGCATCATAGCTTTGTAAAATCTCAGATTTCTGATTCGTTTTTATAAACATTCTTTCCACAGAGGGAGTTGTTCCTCTAAACTTTGAATCTTTGCTGAAAATGAAGGATGTGGAGAATGAGAACAAGGAAATGAACGAGGGCGAGTATGAGCCCCCAGACTGCACAGCGAGGCAAAGCGTGGCCATCCTCATCCCTCATCGCAACCGAGAGAGGCACCTCCTCTACCTCCTGCATCACCTGCTCCCCTTCCTACAGAGGCAGCARCTGCACTACGCCATTTACGTCATCCACCAGGTAGTTCTCTGCTCAACGAGCCATGGGAGCGTGAAACCAGAACACAGTTTAACTCACYGTTGTAGAACAGATGGAACTCGTTTATCAAGATGTCATTAGTTTAGGCGTAATTTGACACTAACAAGGAACTGGAAGTGGAAAAACAGAACATTGCATTATTTAACGCATGTATGAATTACTAGCTCCTAGGGGTGTAAGAAAATATCGATACACTGAAATATTGCGATATTTCATTTCCCGATACTGTATCGATATTCTAAAGCC